GTAGATTGAGAGAAATCTCTTGACTCTTTATGTGTATAGTGAAGTGAGCTACACTTAAATAACCCTTCATATTTGTTCATTGTGTTGCTACAGCCTATGCCATATAATATATCCTATGTATACTGCACTGAAGTACCTTGACTTATCTGCATTACATTTGATTGAAATGCTTTCTTGATGTATTCTGTTATAGCTACTTGGATTGCCCTTTATGTATTATAGCAGGGTTTATTATAGGGTATTTGGCTGGGCTTTTCATTGTACTATTTTGATCCTGGGAGATAATTTATGGTATGAAGTGGTTTTATGCTGATTCTGGTGACTTCAGATCATGATTGTGTAGGGTTTTTTTTAAGGATAGAAGCTAACTTTTGGACTTTCCCCCCCAGTCTTATAGCTTTTATATACACAGGTTATATTTTACCAAGCATTAACCAAGCCTAACCATGCTTTAGTTTTGACCCAAGACAATACACATAATCAGAACAGGCTGATTGGTTCTGTAGTTTCCAGGGTCTTTTTTTTTTTTTTTTTTGCTTCCCTTTTGAAGATGGGAACCACATTAGCTCTTTTCCAATCCTCAGGTAATTCTCCAGTGTTCTGGGATTTTTGAAAGATATGATACAATTGTTCTGAAATAACTTCTTCCAGCTCCTTCAGAACTCTGGGACGTAATCCGTCAGGTCTCGGTAATTTATATTTGTCAAGATTCGATAGGTGTTTTCTAACCATTTTCTTGGTTATTTTAATTTTTATTTCTGTCTTTTATGGTTAGGTTTTTAGTAGGCTGGGCTATAGTTTCGTTTTGTGTGAAGACTGATGCAAAGAATGAACTTAAGCAGTTCTACTTGCTCTCTGCTCTGCTGCCTGTTACTTTCTTGCCATCTTCTCTCTTAAGTGGACCGACTGTTTCCTTGACTTTTTTCTTGTAATTTATATGTTGAAAGAAACTTTTTAAAAAATTCTCTTTCACTTTTGTTGCAAGTCTTTGTTCATTTTTCCTGACTTCATCTATGCTTTCCTGACTTCATCTTTGCAGATTCTGGCTAATACTCTGTCTTAGTTATGTGTCCCTCTTTCCATTTTTTGTATTTGTCCTTTTTGTCTTTCAAGCAAGATTGGCCAAGTGCTGCTACATGCAAGGATTTGTTTGTTTATGCAATTTTTACATTTACATAATATTTTTATTTTTTGCAGGATGGATAGTTGTACTTTTCCAAGATACAGTGACAATGACATTGTGGTACACATTCGCAATTGTTTATTGAGTGGAAATGAGGCTAAAACTTTTTCAAAAAGTGATTTATTTCCAAATGTGAAGGTAAGAGTTTCTAACATTCAGTGAAATTGGAGTTCAAAAGTATAGTATATACATCGCATGTATGCTTTTTTTTTTTTTTTTTTGGTGTTTCCAAGTCAGTTTTTTACTCCTGGCAACTGAAAACCAAAACCCTGAAGTTTTATTGGCAAGTTTCTTGGAAGTTGCTTGTCATTGCCTGCTGCGTTGGATGAGAGAAAAACACTGGCCCTGTTGGTCTTGTTTCTTCAATCTTCTGGATAAACGAAACACTAGAAAGACTACTCAATTTTTTGACATTCAACAGATACGTTAACAGATATTAATGAAGTCTCATTAATCATGTCTTGCCAAGAAGGTTCTACAATTTAATTTAAGAGGAAATAGATCTGTATCTAGAAATCATCTTGGTTTACTATTCTGTAATTCACCTCACCCTAATAATAGCATTTTTTAATTTCTTATCCAAATGCTCTTGATTGAAGCTTTGTGCTAAGATTCCTGGATCTTTAAACATGGTTGCATGTATTTCACATATAGCACCACTGCTCCCTTATGTCTGGCCTATTTATTACACCCTTGCATGCTAGT